ATTATATAAAATTTTATTTAAATATTTTAAATATTAAAAAAAATAAATCATAACTAAATTTATGCTATTTTTAAGCTTAAGGGATAATATTAATATAATATTAATATATAATAAAAATATTTTGCAAAATTAAAAAATCCAGTAAAGTAGTTGTCACTCTTTTCAAATAGCAGGTCTAGAGTTTGAATCCCACAGTTGATGATTTTGAAAAATAGATCTATAGTACAATAACCTGTATAAGATAATCGGATCTTGAATTGAGAATCTGTAACTTGAGTTGCACAAGGAGTAATTCTGGGAGATCTGCTGGCATTTGTACAACTGGAAAAATCTGGAAATTACAAAGGAATGCAAACTGGTTTAGGGTAGTACAAATACTTGATAAGTCTATGATTATATAAATCTTGGAAATTGTTCTTCACTATACAGGGAGCCTATTTAGAAAGTCACAAGTTGGGAGTAGCAATGATCTTTGACGATACTATGATAGCTAAATTTGAACTGGGGCTGAGATCAGTAAACCAAGTAACCAGGTCCTTTAGTAAGAGACACACCAGTTAAACCTCTGGGTACTAGATGCACTGGAGGAAAAGAGCATATGCTTCGAAAGTATGAACCAAAGAGAGAAAATCCTTCAGGCACCTAAAGTCTGGGCAGACTGAACCTTCCAGGTTACTGGCTAGAAGTAAGGAAGAGACCAATTAAGAATTTGGGTAAGAAGATGATTGAATTGGAGTACTGGGTTTGTTGTGAATCTTGCAAAGACAGGAGTACGTAATGGATAATTAATTAAGAAGGTTGTGATTTGAGATATGAATCAGGTTATGGCAGCACCCCAAAAGTTGACTTAAGATACAAACCTGTTGACAGCAACACAACATGTACTAGTTAGAAAGAAGTTATCAAATATGCAGGTAAATACATGTGTGAAATGTGTATCACACTGTTAGGTTTACCACAAGGATAAATGCCTTCTGTTATTGGCTAAAGTCTTAGTGTCTTAAACAGTAAATTGTCTCCATAAAAAAGGACATATTAGGAGGAAACATGTAGCACCAGTAAAAACCAAAAAGTTTAATTAAATAGCTTCCTAGTTAGGCTATAGGTATGACATCTAGTGTAAAACCTTTAGCATAACACTAACACTTCGGGTGGACTACTTAATTAGGCAGCCAAAAGTTGTATGTGTAACTAGTTGTGATACTGATGTAACATGTGGTCTATGTCTTCGGACATTGACTACCCGCTTGAACTAATAAAGTGCCAGGGACTATGAGTGGTCACCTTTAATATTAAAAAAAAAAAAATGTAAATACCTGATACATATAATATACATTCAAATTTATTTTATTTTATTATTTTTGTTCATAATATCCTAAATATGTAGGTACATTAATATCTCTACTATAAAAATCGGGCAAGCCATTAAAACAATGAATAAACTCTATTAATAATCATATTGATAGTCATTGTAACTGTCTCTATAGTCACGATTTCGTTTCGAGATCGATCTCTTGATTTATTTCTATTATTATTATTATTATTACGATCTAAAGACATACTCCTTGAACGATGGGACTCGTCTTCACCACTTTTTTCTTGATTGGCGCGTCTTTGCTCTCTTAAATAATTTCATTGAGCAGCAAACAGCTTCTTTTTTAAATAACGTGATACTTCTTTTAAATGCATAAAATTACAAAAACCGCCTCGAGTACATTCTGCATTTTCGTTTTGACAACAACATACTTCTCAAAAATCTGTTACTGGAGAAAGTTCTGCGTAAATTGGTCATCCTTTATCACAAAGATATGAGTTTATGGATATAAGAGTTTAATGCTAGAATAAGAGAAATTTTAGATCTACTAGCGTAAAATCTTTGATTTAGATTATCCACAGCTTTCTGTGCATCTTCTTCATATCAATCAAGTGATCGCCAACGTTATTACAGACATGCATCTCTTCAACCTCACCATATTTGCACAGCTCTGTGAAAAAGTCCTTATAAAAGTCATCAAAATGCGCTTGAATTTGCTCCTCTGACATATTACAATTCGTGTCGTGCGTGGGATTGGAGCATAGGATTGTTTGCGAAAAGGTCGGTTTAACATACTTCCTGCTGCAACGATCATCATTATGACAAGCTCCAATTTTAAAATAAAAAGAGCAATTAACTCTAAAAAATAAAAAAAATAAAAAGATCAGTAGAGTAAAAAAAAAAAAGCATATATATATATATCATTCTTTAAATTCGCAACTTGTCTTTTTCTGTGCCATAGATCGAAGCTAAATATTCTGCCATATTCGCGTGTATTCAAAAATATAACTACTAATGATTTGGAAACTATAACTTGCAAAGATTTATTTAATCACATAATAGGTCCGGCAGTTGTACAAGTTGACGAAGCCGCCAGAAATATGTACAAAACTCTGAAGGTGAGATTTTTGGACGAGAATAAAATCTTAAATATAAGTGACATTTTATATAGGAATTCTACGGAATCAACAAATGATAATAATAGATATTGTGATTCAATTGTATTATTTTGGGGAATTTTAATATTTAAAGAATATCGAATAGCAACAACACTTCCCAAGTTTCTTGATAAATTCATATTAAGTAATGAAGAATTATACCTACACAATAAGACCATTTTACTACGTATACGGGATATAATCACAATGGATATTATTGATCAAGATATACTTTGCCCCCTTGAAATTATTCCTGGCCGGCACCTTGTTTTAAAGCTGGTAGCTGTTAAAACGTCTACTATATACTGTTATTCTTATGTAGCACTTGATAGATTACCCATAGAAGATAGTATATTGTTTTAACAACTGAAGAGTACATATCTAATCAATTTTCCACAAGACAAAAGTCAGCTTTATACAATTTACCTGGTTCATTGCACAATAATTAAACTTTTAGGCGTGGAAGTGTATTGAATATGTGAAATATGCGATCAAATCTTGGTCAACAATAGTTGTTCAAATCAATGTAATCTTGCAAAATATAAGCTTCGCGCAGAGGGAAAATTTGAAGTAAGAAATGGCACTTCGGCAGCGAGAGTGTTTGCGAAAGACGAACTAGTTCTTCACGCACTTATGTCTCTTAAATGTCAAAAGATATGTTTGGATGCTGCACGAAAAAAAATCGAATATAGTTGGAAACAATCTGAAAATACCAATTGAAATTGGTCAAAGGAATATACAAATTCTATAATCGGTAGAGATATCAATCTTTTCTGTCAACCGTTGTTCCGAAAAATAAGCGGCACGAAAAACATAATCAAATTGAAAGCCATTCGTATTGAGAACATTTCTCCAACAATCGAAGCATATAAAAGGATTCAACATTTAAAACAAGTAAAATAAACCTTATAATTATGTTTTTGCACTATATATTATACAGAGGTCAAACAAGATTTAAAAAAAACGATTGTAATAAATTTATTTTATATATCATTTTTTCTAAATCAAAACAAGAATGTAAATACATATAATATAAAAAACGATCGCATTCAAATTTATTTTATTTTATTATTTTTGTTCGTTAATGTCCTAAATATGTAGGTGCATTAATATCTCTAATATAAAAATCGGGCAAGCCATTAAGACAATGAATAAACTCCGTATTAATAATCATATCGATAGTCATCATAACTGTCTCTACGGTCACGATTTCGTCGTGTGTTTTTTCGAGATCGATCTCTTGATTTATCCCTATTATTATTATTATTATTATTATTATTATGACGATCTAAAGACATACTCCTTGAACGATGAGACTCGTCTTCACCACTTTTTTCTCGATTGGCGCGTCTTTGCTCTCGTAAATAATTTCGTTGAGCAGCAAACAGCTCCTTTTTTAAATAACGTGATACTTCTTTCAAATGCATAAAATTACAAAAACCGCCTCGAGTACATTCTGCATTCTCGTTCTGACGACAACATGCTTCTCGAAAATCCGTTACTGGAGAAAGTTCTGCGTAAATTGGTCGTCCTTTATCACAAAGATATGAATTTTATGGACATAAGGGTTTAATGCTACATGGAATAAGAGAAATTTTAGACCTACCAGCGTAAAATCTTTGATTTAGATTATCCACAGCTTTCTGTGCATCTTCTTCATATCTAAACCTAGCATAAACGTTTCCAATCAAGTGATCGCCAACGTTATCACAGACGTGCATCTCTTCAACCTCACCATATTTGCACAGCTCTGTGAAAAAGTCCTCATAAAAGTCATCAAAATGCGCTTGAATTTGTTCCTCTGACATATTACAATTCGTGTCGTGCGCGGGATTTTGGTAGATGTTGGAACATAGGATTGTTTGCGAGAAGGTCGGCTTAACATGCTTCCTGCTGCAACGATCACCGTGACGACAAGCTCCAATTTTAAAATAAAAAGAGCAATTAACTCTAAATAAAAAAATAAAAAGATCAGTAGAGTAAAAAAAAAAGCGTACATATATATCATTTTTTAAATTCGCAACTTGTCTTTTTCTGTGCCGTAGATCGAAGCTAAATATTCTGCCATATTCGCGTGTATTCAAATTTAACGTTAATAATTAATAGTTTAACTTCACGAAATGATGCCGACTAATTTTACCGACCTATTTTTCGACAAAATCAACCAATAGGATTATGTTTCACGAATTTGTATAACTAAGCAAAGCATTACGGCGCATTTGCGGAATTAAGGAAATTAAGCAGTTATAGTAGGAAGATGGGTTGAATTCATAGGCAGACATTCGTATGATTGGCAGTTTAAATCAATTTAATTTTACATTATTTATACAGTTTAAAAAAAAGAAAAATACAAAAAAATAAACAAAAAGTATATAGAAAGTTTTATTAAGTTGTATTAAAAATAATCAAAATTCTTTTTTTGTTTTAGAGAAGTTAGGCCACTCCAATTTGATTTTATGTTTAGCATAACACTAATAAATGATCTGCAACTCTAAATAGGGGAGGGGGTAAAAAAACATAGGATTTTGATTGGCTAAAAAAAATTTTTTTTGAACAGTTAATATGATTTTTATATTAAGTGATGTTTATTATCCTCTCTATTCAAGGCTCAAAAAGAGGGAGGGGGGTTATGTTAAACGATTTTGGGTCAAAATCCCGAACAACAAATTATCGAAAGAACATAAAACCGACTAAATTGGCCAGCATTATGGCTAGTGCCGGTTAACTTTGTCGGTATTACGTTCTTTCGGGGATCCATTGTTTGGGATTTTAACCCAAAATCATATTAAACATAGTTTTAACTTGGCATGGCCTTAGCATAATAATGATTTCTTAAAATTAGGTTATCGCTGTACTAACTTCTTTAAAACAAAAAAGAATTTTGATTATTATTATTATTATTATTTTTTTTTTATATTTTTTTTTTATTATATAATATCATAGTAGAAACTTTATTATAGTCAGTCCGAAGATTAAAAGTTATCTTATAGTCTACAAATCCAAGTAAGAGGACAGATAAGCTACTTATTTATAACCAGGCTGCCAAAACCCTTTAACTTGAACTAGTAAATTTTAAGAAG